GTGTGTGTGTGTGTGTGTGTGTGTGTGTGTGTGTACTTGTTACTGTTACAGAGTGAGGACCCTAATGAGACCTGAAAAGGCTAAACAAGGCTGGTTCTGTTCTGGGGACAACTGTGGAACCTCTGCAGAAGATGATGTAAAGAAGGATTTTTACATAAAATCAAGAACATTTTGGACAATCCTGTCCATCCTCTTCATCCAACCCATTCTCACTCCCAAGTCGTCACATATTGACACTTTTCCAAGGTTCCTTCTGCGTCCTATTTTGACGAGATGGGGCGTAATCCGTTGTCATAATTTCAGAATAAAATGCATCAAAACTACCATTCCAAAGCCTAAAATTACCTTTATTCACTCTAAACATCCTGTCCCTGACCCTAGTACCAAAAATTAACCATTTTTAGAAAGTGTTGGAAATTCACGTCAACCACGTGTTCCAAAGCCTAAAAATACGGTACCTAATATTTGCCCTAGACATCCTATCACTGACCCCACTTCCTAAAATTAACTATGAACCTTGATCCCTAATATTAACCACGGACCCCAACTCAAAGATATATTTTTGCGTCCCAATGCGTCAAACCCGGACGTTGAGGAAACCCGGAAATGCCTGGTGCGTCAATAACTGACACGACGGGTGTACCCGACGTGTCAAAATAAGATGCAGAGGGAACCTTGGAAAAGTGTCGATATGAGACGAGTCGGGAGTGAGAAATCAGACTGTCGTAGAATAACAGAGTGTCTTCAGTCGGAGTCTTCTTCAGTTTGGTTTTAATACAGACCGATACAGAAGATCTGTCCTGAACACAGCCATAACCATCTACAATAACTCTTTAGTTAAATGAGGGAACATCTAGAGCATCTAATTTCCCTCTGGGATCAATAAAGTATTTTTGAACTGAACTGAATAGAATTGAATTGAATAATATGTTTTTAACCAACAAAGTGAAGACATTTTCAGGAAGTGAAGAAGGTGAAGTTTCCTGGTCCTCACCTTTTTTGCAGCTCTGCTGCACTCTACACGGTTTAGAGGTGTGGTGTGAATTACAGTCTGGTTCAGGTTAGGGTTAGACAGAGGTTCATAGTAACTAAGTACACTTACTTTTCTACAGTAAAGTAGTTTTTTAAGGATTTGTTATTTTACCAATTATTTTATAAACATCTACTTTTGCTTTTATTTTGTTACATTTTAAAGCTAAAAATGATACTTTTACTTCTTTACTTTAAAACGTAACATAACACTGATTACAACATTAAATATGTTCGAACTCATCATAAAAGATGTTTCTGCTCTAAAAAATTAATTGTCTAATTTTACTCAGCAAAATCATGTCAACTGGCTCCACTAAGCCTAGTCAAGTAAACTGAGCAAAGACTAAACATATGTTGCTCAATTTACTCAACCTGGTTTAGTGGAACCAGTTTGGTTCAGTAAATTCAACAGTTTATTTCTTAGAGGGTGTGTAAAAGTACTTTTCCTTTTACTTTCCCAATTTTTGTGAACAGTTTTATGACTTTTATTGAGTAGTTTTCTCATCAGTGAAATTTATTTTTACCAAAGTCATTTTCTGTTCATTTAATTTTACTTTTACATATTTTTCAAGTACTTTATCTGTGGGTATGGACCAGTAATGGTTCATTTTAAGGAAAATGTCTGAGTTAGGCATAATTTGTTATGAAAATGAATGGTCTGTACAATGTCCTCATTTTGATGCTAGTACAAGAATGTGTGTGTGTTTGTGTGAGCCACATGTGTGTTGTTGGAGGGTGGGAGGGTCTGAGGAAGAACAGAGCTGTGGTGTTTCAGATTACACTCCTCAGAGAAGAAGAAACCCGAGGCCACTTTCCTGCAGACACATTTTGGTTGCAGTTTGTGAGCAGCTGTGGAAAATGCAGATCTGCTCTCTGCTGCTTGCTCTTCTGACCCCAGCTTTGTTTGGAGGTAGGAAACTTTCCACTCATTTATACCGAAGTCTTTGTGTCGTAGAAGAAAAATTAGAGAAACGTAGATTTGCCAATGATGTTTTGGGAAATGAAAGTTTAGAAACTGGGACTGGATTTTTCTAAGTGGTTTTGCTGGGAGTTTTAAAGGACAACAGATTCAGCTCCTGACTCTGAGCCATCTGCTCTCAGCAACAGGAACTCTAAACCTGTTAAAATGTAGCTTTACCTGGTCACTAAACAACAAAACTGTACAAGAAACAGATCTTTTATCACCCTCTGCTGAAAAGAAGTGTCTGTGAGTGTGTGTGTGTGTCTGTGAGTGTGTGTGTGTGTCTGTGAGTGTGTGTGTGTGTCTGTGTGTGTTGGGGAACTTCCACATGTGCACGTGTCACTGGAGGGGACAAACCCTTCGTTCTTTAGGATTTGTCTTAACTAATGTGTGTGTGACCGGATGCTCCTTGGTCCCCACAACTTTGGAAGCTGATTTTGGGTGTGGAAGTTGGGTTTAGGACCAAGGTGTGTTTGAGTTTAGGTTAGTTTTAGGGTCAGGTAAGTAGGGCAGACCGGGGACAGTAGCAACAAGGGACGGTTGCAACACATCATTTTTCTCCAAACAGAAACACAGAGTTATGACACTCACAC